ATCAAGGAAGGAGAACCAATTGCTAACTTCCAGGTTTCCGGGGTATAAAATGGAGTCTTCTTCACTTTCTAATGGAAGCACTCCTTTGACATGCAGGACAGTGTCAAGGATACCTGTCCACAGTTTATAAAAAAATGAAACTTTTTTCTTCTTTCTCATTTTCTTTCTATCTATCTATCTATCTATCTATCTATCTATCTATCATCTATCATTTATTGTTTAGAGTATTATAGATGTCCCCCACTTTTTTCTTTTCCCTACTGCCCCCCAACATCCAGTTCCTGCCCTGCCAGGCCTTCACCTCCCTACAAAATAAAACCCTTAAAAGCAGAGGGAGGTGTAGAGAGTGCTACCAAAGAAGGAAAACATATGGAAGGCTGGAGCAGGCACTTACAAGGCCATGGTACTGTAGCAAAAGACCTCCAACCACACCAGTAGGTGTACTCCAGTCCCAGCCTCAGGTGTGCAAGCCAGGAGGTGAACATCCTGTAGATGCTAATATAAATGCAACGCTTCAAAATATCCTCCAGGATCTTGCCAAAGATACAGAACCCTACTGTGTGTAGCCCATTCATAATAAAGCATTAGCCTTCTCAAGTGACCTTGAATGTCAATCTGTACGCTATCTTCTTATCTCTTTTCTCACATCCATCTAGGGCTCTGTTTCTTGCTCTAAAAAGGTGGTCACATCTGGTTTAGAAAGGATATACTAGTGATACTAGGTTATCTATTGTCTGTCAACACCATATATCTGTTGTATAGTCTCTTCTAGCAAGATTCAGACATTCCCACTTATCCTGGGAACTTCATTAATCCAGGGTCAATCCTCCTTGGGGTTCCTCTCTAAAAAAAACAGAGTCCAGAGAAGACACTACTCTACTTTGATGGTTAGTGTGCAACAACTCTTATTTCTTCCATGAGATACTTTAGGCGAGGGGCAGAATGCATGGAGTCCAACAACTAAACAAACACATAGTAAGGCCCCAGAGCCATTTATTTAAAAAAAAATTTCCCTTTTCTGTCTACTATAAAATGGTGATCAGGGAGAATTCCTTGCTCTATTATAAAATGTCAAAAAGGAAGATTTTGTTGGCCAGAGCAATGACTTTTGTGAACAAAGCAAACATGGATGCTTTTTCCAACTTGCTTCTGCCAACAAACTTCCCTTAACATAGAAATGGTGATATTCCTAAAACATCTGAAACTGGGTAACTCAGTAGAATCAGAGTCTAAAATGTTTTCCTAGACAACAATGATTCTATTTCAATAGAGTGGTACTATATGGTAGCCACAATCCACATGTAGCTGTGGGGTACTTGAAATGTGGCTCGTCTAAATTGAGATTACCACTGTAAATTTATAATAAATTCTGGCTATTGAAGACAGTATAAAAAACTTAAGTAACTCATTCATAGTTTTTAAATACTGGTTAAATGTTGAAGTGATAATATTTGGATATATTGTGCTAAATAAAATATATTATTAAAATTAATTTTACCTGTTGCTTTTTATTTTAATGTGGCTACTAGAAAATTTAATAGAGCCTTTAAAATACAAAAGCAACTCTAATTTTCTTTGTGATCTTACTTATAGAAGATTTATATAGTAATAATAAAAATCAGCCTTTTTATAAGTTTAAGTTCAGTTGTTTTAATAACTATTTTTTGTTGTTGTTAATCCTCACATGAGGATATTTTTTCCACTGATTTTTTTCAAGAGAGTGGAAGGGAGGGGGACGAGAGAGAGAGAGAGAGAGAGAGAGAGAGAGAGAGAGGCTGATGTGAGAGAGACATATCAATTGGTTGCTTTCCTCACGCACTCTGACCAGGGCCAGGGATTGAACCTACAACCCTGGTAGGTATGTGCCCTTGACTGGAACTGAACCTGTGACCCTTTGGTGTGTGGGCCAACACTTAACCACTGAGCCACGCCAATCAGGCCTCAATAACTAATTTTTACCAAGACAAACATTATATGGTTTCATCTGGATAAAAGAAGTTAAAAAGAACACTATGTCCATACACTGCTGAATTATATTTAATCACCCTAAAAAAATGGATCACCTCTTTAATTAGAATTCCAACTCTGAAACAGTAAATAAAGCAATTTTTTCCCCAAAACCTTATGCCTGAATTTCAAATCTTACTTAAAGGACATGTGACCACCTAAAGCACAAGCACAGGATACTTGATAGAATAAAAAACCCATATATATGACACACAAACCACTAAAGTATTACCTGATAGATATCAGATAAACTGCTGCTTCCAGAGTCACTAGCGATGCTACAACCAGACTGACTGGAAGACACGTGAGTCACCTGTGGATGAGGGTTGTCTGTGATATGCATCTTCGTAAGATCGGCTGGAAGCTGAAGAAGAAAAATAATTTAAGATATTCTAAATATCAAACCACTTTCATAAGAGAATTTTTGACACAATGCAACTTCTGCAACAAATTTTTGCTTGATGTACATTACTGTACAACTTCACTTCTAAGCAAATTTTCCATTTTTAGGAAATCGCTTAGGAAATGATAACCAAATTAATACTCTGACACTATTAGGCAAGCCAACAGTGGAAACCTACTGAACAGTTTTCAAAAAAGATTACTATTAGTAATGGTATTTCAGAAGAAAAACTTTCCCTCACCACAAATATCAGCTGTTTCCACCATAAAGGGAGGGAATAGTATTATATACACATATGGGAACACACACCAATACAAAATGATTGCTAATAGAATAAAACAGTAATATCTTGAATTAAATTACAATATCCCATGATCACAGTGCAAATAAGGTAGAAATAAGTGAAAAAAAAAAAGACAACTAGAAAATTATCATGTACTTGCAAATTATAAAACAGACCTCTAAATAGCCCATAGGTCAATGAAGTCACACTTGGAAGTTAGAAAATATTTATACAGAATAAAAATTAAAATGCTATATATCAAAAACCTATGGAATAAGCTAAAGCCATACTAAGAAGCCATTTTATAGCTCTAGTATGTGTATTTATAAAGGCAGCAGAAAATCAATGAGCTAAGTAAACTGTTTACAATAACTATAATAAAAAAATATTGATGGGAGTAGTCCTCAATTCAGAGATCTTCCTTCCACTTTGTTTCTATTGTTTAGATACAAAAAAAACCCAAACATGCCCTGACCAGAGTGGCTCAGCTGGTTGAGTGTCATCCCGTGAACCAAAAGGCCACAGGTTTGATTCCTGCTTGGGGAACATGCTCCTGGTGGGGGGGGGGGGGGGTATGTGGGAGGCAGCCAATCAATGCTTCTCTCTCACATTGATGTTTCTCTCTCTCTCTCTTCCTCCCTCTCCCTTCCTCTCTCTCTAAAATCAATGAAAACAATTTTTAAATTTTCATGTAAGAATGAATAGATTGAAAAGTAAAGACTGAAAATAGTTTCCAAAATGTCAGATTTGGTTGTGTGAGGGAGATATTCTATACACCCAGATTCCTACAGAGATAAGACTAAGGAGAAGGTCATTTATAAAAGTAACACAATAAACCAAAGCCAGAAGAGCAAATCTGTAAATTGGCTTAGAAAAGATACTTCAATGTACTGAGCAACCTTCATCCTCACAGATCATAAAAGGCAGGCATTATTATCCTCCCTACTTTACTGATGAGGAACTGAGGCACTAGGATTTGCGACTTGCCCAAGATCTCACACTCAAGTTAGCAGTGGAGTTGAAATTCAACTCAGACCTATCTGATTCTAGTACTACTCTCTGATAAACTCTTACTTTGTGCCAGGATCTCTGCTGGCAACATAATGCTGAAAACAGATGGATCTTACCTTCAAGGAGCTCAGTGTAAAAGTGAGAGAGGACACAGATTTACAAGCATATAGCAACTGCTTTCAACTTCAAAAACTAAGATTTTCATTAGGAACCCCCTCAACCTCTTTATCCAATGGAAAGAATAATGATGGTGATTGCACAGCTAACATCTGAGGGCTCACTACATGTCCCAAATATGTAAACTGTAAAAAATATATTTCTAGTGAAGAGAAAAATTGAGGCTGATGATCCAAAGTAATTATAGCTTTATCTGCAATATCTAGCTGAAATGTTTTATTTTCACATGGAGAAAGCATTCTTCTATCATTTCTACAAATAATTTGACATTTTTTTCAAAATGGAAAACAAATACATACACATGTATGTGAGAGAAATTTTCTCTTAATTTCTCTTTTAAAAATGGCCACAGATGACAGCCAGTCGGCCTGGTGGTCAAATCCCTCTAGTATTAACTACAACAATCAAGGCTTAACTAGAACAAGACTGCGCACAAAGACCACAAGGGGGTGCAACAAGAAAGCATAAAAAATGCGGAGACAAAAAAACATGACAGAAATGGAGGATATAGAGCTAAAAAAACGCAATTTTGAGGGCTTGCAATAATGTGCTACAAGCTGCCAATAAACTTGATGAGAGCCTCACGAAATCTAATGAGACCCTCACGAAATCTAATGAGACCCTCGATGCTGTGATAAAGAACCAACTAGAAATTAAGCATACACTGACTGAAATAAAGAACATTATACAGACACCCAATAGCAGACCAGAGGAGCACAAGAATCAAGTCAAAGATTTGAAATGCGAAGAAGCAAAAAACACCCAACTGGAAAAGCAAAATGAAAAAAGAATCCAAAAATACGAAGATAGTGTAAGGAGCCTCTGGGACAGCTTCAAGCGTACAAACATCAGAATTATAGGGGTGCCAGAAGATGAGAGACAGCAAGATATTGAAAACCTATTTGAAGAAATAATGGCAGAAAACTTCCCCCACCTGGTGAAAGAAATGGACTTACAGGTCCAAGAAGCGCAGAGAACCCCAAACAAAAGGAATCCAAAGAGGACCACACCAAGACACATCATAATTAAAATGCCAAGAGCAAAAGACAAAGAGAGAATCTTAAAAGCAGCAAGAGAAAGAGACTCAATTACCTACAAGGGAATACCCATACGACTGTCAGCTGATTTCTCAACAGAAACTTTGCAGGCCAGAAGGGAATGGCAAGAAATATTCAAAGTGATGAATACCAAGAACCTACAACCAAGATTACTTTATCCAGCAAAGCTATCATTCAGAAGTGAAGGTCAGATAAAGAGCTTCACAGATAAGGAAAAGCTAAAGCGGTTCATCACCACTAAACCAGTATTATACGAAATGTTGAAAGGTATCCTTTAAGAAGAGGAAGAAGAAAAAGGTAAAGATACAAATTATGAACAACAAACATGCATCTATCAACAAGTGAATCTAAGAATCAAGTGAATAAATAATCTGATGTACAGAATGAACTGGTGATTATAATGAATCAGGGACATAGAAAGGGAATGGACAGACTATTCTTGGGGGGGAAGGGGAGTGGGAGATGCGGGAAGAGACTGGACAAAAATCGTGCACCTATGGATGAGGACAGTGGGTGGGGAATGAGGGCGGAGGGTGGGGCGGGAACTGGGAGGAGGGGAGTTATGGGGGAAAAAAAAAGGAGGAACAAATGTAATCTGAACAATAAAGATTTAATTTAAAAAAAAAAGAAAAAAAAAGAGAAAAAAAATGGCCACAGACAATGAAATGTGTTGAAATTCTATAACCCTTAACAACTAACGATTGCTATACACAGAGTACACAATCTGACTTTTTATGATTAAAAATTTATTCAAGATTCAAAGATGAGAGTTATTAGAATGCCTTGTGATAAATACTAATATACTTGATATATAATGGAAAGCTGAGAATAAACATTTACCTAATAAGCAACTGAAAACAGTGGAAAGTGATATAAATTAGATAACAAAAAACTCCCAACATAAGGACCTGTATGGGAAGCTGAGAAATCAATGGAAAGTGAAATACTTTTTTTCCCTCCATTTCTTTGAATGCAGCATTCATGCTGTCTATATCCCAACTAGAGGCCCGTTGCACGAAATTCGTGCACAGGAAGGGGGGGGGGGGAGGGTGGTCCTTCAGCCCTGCTTGTACCCTCTCACAATCCGGGACCGCTGGCTCCTAACTGCTTGCCTGCCGGCCTGCTTGATTGCCCCTAACCATGCTGCTTGCCTGCCTCATCGCCCCTAACCACTCTGCCTGCCTGATCACCCCAACTGCTCACCTGCCTGCCTGATTGCCCCTAACCGCTCGCCTGCCTGCCTGATCGCCCCTAACCACTCTGCTGCCTGCCTGCCTGATGACCCCTAACCACTCTGCCTGCCTGATCGCCCCAACTGCTCACCTGCCTGCCTGATCGCCCCTAACTGCTCGCCTGCCTGATTGCCCCAACTGCCTCTGCCTGCCTGCCTCACTGCCCCTAACCCCTCTGCCTGCCTGCCTGCCTGATCACCCCACATATTACACTTTTATTATTATAGATAGTTGTCTTGCTCCAAGCTGTAAGGACCTGCTTGTCATAGAGATAGAAAAGTTTTAATTTTTACTCTTGATTATGGCAATTAACTAACACAGATGGCCACCAAAAAGGTGACTTACCAAAGGGTGTATAGCAAACAGTGCTGTTAAGTCCTCTTCCATGAAAACGTGCATGTTGTGCATTGTATCTGCCTGGGTACATAAAAGAGTGAAGTTTCTGTCTGTCTTTGCAATCATATGAAAGAATTGTGTGAGACCCCAGCCCAGTCTGCTTTGGTGCTCACAGAATAATAGAGCTCTTTTTTTTTCTTTGCTCCATTGGTGGAGATTTCCTAGAAGTTGCAGGATATCTTCCTTTTAATTTTTCCTCAACACTCTGACTTTACTTATGTCTCTCACCTTTGCTTTCCCTCCATCCCCCACCTGCAACAGTAACTTGCTCCAGGCTCACTTCGCTCGAGAGTCTAGGACAGTGGTCGGCAAACCGCGGCTCACGAGCCACATGTGGCTCTTTGGCCCCATGGCACGGGCCACGAAGTTTCAATCGCACTTTACGTGTGCGCCCACACGTGGTATTTTGTGGAAGAGCCACACTCAAGGGGCCAGTTTGCCGACCACTGGTCTAGGAGATTGCACAATGCATCTGCCACCAGAACCACAATTCCCAGCATTCCTGGTGCTCCCCGCAGTCTCGGCTTCCACTTATGGTCCAGGGGCTGCAGAAACCGAAAGGACTGGGGACTCCAGCCACCCTGTCCTGCCCTGCCCCGCCCCCCGGCGGGGTTGAAAGGACTGGGGACTCCAGTGGGTGCCATCTTTGTGATGGTATGAGGGTCAATTCGCATATTCCCTCTTTATTAAAAAGGATTATACAGAGATATTGTTAACTCTGCATCTAAATCCCTATCTCACACACACATACACGCACACACACAGATGTCCAGGCAACTCTACAATGATATACTTGTATCTTAC